TTTCATTCATTTATATTGTGAGGTGTCCTGCCCTTCCAATCCTTTTATAATACTTATATTCATGAAAGCATGTTGGGGAGCTCTGGTGGCCTAGTGGCAAGGAGCTGCAACTACAATCCCAGAGACGCAGGTTCGAATCCACCAGATGCTCTGCCGGGGAAGGAGGGACAATTTCCTCCTGTACCAGTCAGATCTGATTTGACGGTACACTCACACACAAATAATAAAATAAAAAAAAAAGAAAGCATGTAAGCCCCCTTCATGCCCTTATGCGCTAAAATCCCCTCTTTAGATTGCCAGTTTCTGATTTGTCCATGCCTATCAATCCAGAACTCTGAGGGAACAAGCTTGTCCCTTTTGCTGAAGCATCTTCTTTTCAACCTGGAAACGTCAAGTGTCTGCATTCACAAGCAAAGTCCAGTCCAGAGCAAGCCATCAAGTTGCAGCAGTCAGTCCTGGCTCATAGCATGGACCATCCTCTCTTCATCTCACTGAGTTCTCGTCAACTCATCCCCAGTCGTCAGTGGCTGGGTTCAAGCTGGAAGCTCAGGAACCCACACTTCTCCCTGCGCTCCAGAACGTTGGTCCCCTCAAGTTGTGGTTTTATTATTTATCCATGTTCCTTTATTCTCTTACAGTCCACGGGTCTCTATGAGCAGAGACTGGATCTTTCAACTTGGTATTCTCAGGACACACAAGTTGCCCCCAAAATAATGAAATGTGGAGTCCTTTCATCATACAGTTGAGAAACCAAGGTTCAGGGAGAGAAACCACCTTACAAGAGTTCCGATGGCATAGTCCATAGGGAGATGGTACTGCCAATCCAAAGTCTGTATCTCTCTGGGGGTTCGAATCCCCTCTAGTAGCTTTTGGTGGAGAGAAAGATGGTCAGTGTCCTTTTATACATTTCATGGCCTCAGAAACCCAGCGGAAGGTCACCTAAGCTATAGGTTGGTTCTGACTCATGGCAGTGAGTTTAGAAAGAGAAGGGACTGCGCCACTACGTAGAGGCAGAGATGCCCTCTTGATAGGCTCTTTTGTTTCTCACCACCAGCGTCTGCAGGCTCAGGTGTCTTCAGAGGCGAGGCAGACAACAAAAAGGCGGAGAGCAGGGTAGGCACATTTTCTTGTTCTGGAACATTGGGCTCTTTCAAACTCTTCCTTTTCCACATATGATACAGAAATATTTTCTTCTCTCCTTCAACTACCTCAGAGGAAAGCAGTAGTGTGAAAGTGATGGTTCTAGCTTGTGCCTCGATGGAGACAGGCGGCTCGTGGATCAGATGTTGTCCCTTCTTGGTGCTGCTGTGGTGCGCTCGGTGTATCTAACGTGGAACTTTTCATTTGTGCTTTAAGTCCTTACCCGCTCCTCAAAGCCTGCTGACCTGCCTGTAACCTCACTAGTCGCTGACTCCCCACTTTCCCTCACACACATCCCCCACGTTCCAGTTCTACTGAATGGCAGTTGTTCCACAGGTTGTTCTTCGTCTCTGGCTCCCTCCTTTCTCTCAGGCACTTCTGCCTGAATTAACCTAAATCCCTGGCGACGTTTGTCACTCTCTCTCATTGCTTGATGTTTAAAGAACTCGCTGTTCTGAACTGTCAGCTCTGGAGCCGTTCTTAGGTAGAGACTGACTTTTTCTCTCTCTCTCTCATTCTCTCACTCTTGCTCTCTCTATGTTTCTCTCTGTCTCACTCTCTGCCTCTCTCTTTCTCTCTCTATATTACACTCTCTCATGCATGTGTTCATGTTCTTGATCTCTCTCTGTGTCTCTGTCTCTTTCACTTACCTGCTCTCTTTCTCTCTCTCACTGTCTCTGCCTGTATTCATTTAGGACACACCTACAGTTCTCTAATGAATGTATGGTAGAGCCCAGGATGAAGCTGTGTGGTTCCTGAATCTTCAGGAGGTGACGTACTGCCTCTGCTGTCAAATTTGATTAAACTGGTTGACTTTAATTCCCTTTAGTTCTGTTGAGGAGGAAAAATTAAATTGTTCACCACAGAGAACACATTCTTCCCTCTCTGACTAAGGATGATGAGAAAGGTTTTGAGTTGTCTGTTCAGAGTCGTACTCAACTTGATGGCATCTAACAACAACATATATTTATATGATGTTGTTGTTGTTGTTGTTATGTACCATCGAGTCACTTGCGACTCATAGAGACCCTATGTACAAGAGCTCTAAACACCGTTCTATCCTGTGCCAAGCTCACTGTCTCAAACACCCTCATTCCCACCACTCCACTCACAGAATCGATCCATCTCATTGAGGGTCTTCCTCTCCTATACGGTCCCTCCACTTTCCCAAACATGATGTCCCTCTCCAAGGACCAGTCCCTCCTTGCAACATGCCCAAAGTATGTCAGATGAAGCTTCAGAATCCTTGAACCCAGGGAACATTCTGGCTTCACCCTCTCCAGGACAAACCTGTTTATTCTCCTAGCAGTCCATGGTCTATTCAACACTCTCCTCCAGCACCACAACTTAAAGGCATCAATTCTCTTTCTGTCATCCCTATTCACTGTTCAACTCTCCGGTGCATAGCACGTAATTGCAAGGACTATAGCCTGGATCAGGCGCACCTTAGTCTCCAGCCTGACATCGTTGCTCTTTAGTACTCTTGAGAGGTCCCTCACAGCTGACTTTCCCAATGCAATTCGTCTCTTGATTTCCTGGCTGCTGTTACCAAGAGTGTTGACTGTGGAACCAAGTAAACAAAAACTGTTAACTATCTCAATCTCTTCACCATCCATA